TAGGCTTACCTAGTTGTAGGAACTAGGTGCCATCACGACTTGTTCATGGAGGGTGAACTGGGGTCGTGACAAATAAGTAAGCGTCGGTAGTAATACAAATAACGAACTGAGATAGTATAGTATTATTAATTATGAACAATAATTGTACTAGTGAATCATAGTGATCAGTGAGAATAGCCTTGTAAAAGTACTAATAATAATAATAATAATAATAATGTAATATTACAAAAAATAATAATAAATAAACAATGATAAGAAAATAATAATATGTAACAACAAACTATATCGGAAAAAAAATACGTCGATGTACCAATAAAAAAAATGATACAACGGGTAAATGTACTAATAATAATTACACTAAATATAATGAAGGAAAACTAATGATAGCGATAATAGGAAGAAGTAATAATATGTTTTTTTTTCTTTTTAAAGTGCAGTTACAAAAAGGAAACGATAATATTAATATGACGGTAGTAGTTATAGTACTATTTAGTAAATAGTGATAATAGTAACAGATAAAAAAAATAATAAGGTCTCAAATTAGTAATAAAATATTTATTCTGAAATAGTTGTATGTGAATCACCAGCAATGGCGCCAAAAAATTTGATGAGGACAATTTTCCCACTCGTGCTTTGTCAAATTCTAGTATAGTTTATGATATCGTCCCATAGAGATTGAAACATCTATGCTATAGACTTTTAATATTTCAACTACAATTTGAGAGAATCAATTTGATGAAAAGTGAGTGAGGTTTAAAACTTGTTAATTACTTAAACAAAAATCAAGAACTTTCGGAAGATTTTTAATTTAAAAGAGTTGGGAATCGTTGAACTCACTTGATAATATATTACAATAAAATCTCAATTTTTACATGTATTTCTCTGAGGAATAATTGTGTCACGACCCGAAATTCCCACCGTCAGGACCGTGATGGCACCTAACATTCCACTTGCTAGGCAAGCCAACGATAGAGATCATTAAGCCAAATTCTTAAGTTTTTTAGTGATAAACATCAAATAAAGTTATAACAAGGTAAAACGAAAAGCGCGGAAATCCATAACAACTTTATTACTTATACAGAACTACCCAGAATCTGGTGTCACAATCCACGAACTACTAAGATTTAGCTACAAGTAAGGTGTCTGAAGAAAATACAACTGTTTTCGATACAACTGAAACGGTAAAGGAAATGCATAGAAGGGGACACCAGGGCCTGCGGACGCCAACAGGACTACCTTGAGTCTCCAAACAGATCAAGCCACCAGCTAGACTCAGGGTCAACCCGGTCTGGTACCAAAATCTGCATAGAAAGTGCAAAAAGCAGTATCAGTACCACCGACCCCGTGTACTGGTAAGTGTCGAGTCTAACTTCGGTGAAGTAGTGACGAGGCTAAGACAAGACACATTCATAAACTTGTGCAGTTAACCAATATACGATCACAATAACAACTAATAGAAGCTGAATAGATAATAACGGGAGGGGAAACATGCTTAGGGGAGCACAAGATAAAGAAAACTGTAACAGTACAGAAACCACAGCACACAATATGCTTTGCACCAATGAAAGTATTAAACACAGTAAAGACAAGTGCACGACATCACTCTTCATGCTTTTACTCTCAACCTCACCATAATAATTAACAAAAACGGTACGGCATCACCCTTCGTGCATTAATTCTCATCCTCACCATATAAACAAAAGAAACGGCACGGCATCACCCTTCGTGCATTAACACTCACATATCAATGCACGACATCACCCTTCGTGCATTAACTCTCGCTCACAAAATATTGCACAACATCATCATTCGTGCATTAACACTCTCCCTAGCCAAAATAATAAACAATAACAACAGAGAGATAGAAATATCAAGAACCAATCTTACTTCAACATTTAGTTCCACAATACCAACCTCAACTTTGAGTCAATACTCAATCAATACCAAATTCCATAAAACAAGATAAGAGTTTCTCAACATAACGAATAACTAGTCTAACATGAACAATATGATCAAAGAATACAACAGTTACAAGAATAAGACTCACTCGCATGCTATGACTCGACAACAACGCATTAGTGCTCGTCACCTCACCTATACGTTGTACTCAACATCATAACACATAGCAAATAGGCAAATAATACCTAACCCCTCAAGCCAAGGTTAATCACGACACTTACCTCCAACGGCCAAACTCACAGCTCAATCAAAGCTTTTCCCTTCAAACAAGCCTCCAGACCAATAGAATCTAGCAATTTACCAACCAAACGATTCAAATAAAGCCTTAGGATCTAACCACGATTGAAATGAATTCAATTTAGGCCATTTTTGAAAAAGTCAACAAAAGTCAACACCCAGGCTTGCTTAGTCCAAATCCGATATTGGAACCAAAACTCGATTACCCATTCACTCCCGAGTCTGGATATATAATTGGTTTTGGAATCCGACCTCAATTTGACATTTAACTCCCCAAATTTTGAAATCCCTAGTTTCCACCCAAAAATCCCCAATTTCACCATGAAAACCTTAGATTTTTGGTTGAATCTTATGAAAAAGTAGTGAAAGATTGAAAGAAATTAGTTTAAGATCACTTACCAATGATTTGGGGAAGAAAAGTTCATTGGAAAATCGCCTCTTGTTGTATAGATTTTGAAAATTTGGGAAATGAATCAAAAATCCCGTCTAAGTCATCTTTTGTTCAACTACAGGTATCGCATTTGCGAAAAACTTCGCATTTGCGAATGAACAGTGTTTTCGCAATTGCCATAAAAGGTTCGCAATTGCGAATGAACAGTGTCGCACTAGAAATCAACAAAACCCAAACTTCTCTGAAATGATCCGAAACTACCCCGAAACACATCCGGAACCAACCGGACACAAACCATATATGAATTTCAATCATAAAAATGCTACGGACCTGCTCGCACTCAAAACACTGAAAATATGTCATCTTAACCCTATATTGACCAGGGTCAAACTCCCAAATTTCATAACTTTACTAGTCTCTCAACCAAAGATCCAAAAATACACCCCAAGCCCCTCGGCACTCCAAACCAAACAACCACACAAGACTTAAAATATCATACAAACTTGCTCATGCGATCAAATCACCAAAATAACACTTAAAACCACAAATTTATCACAATATCAAACGAAATTCTCAACAACACTTTGAAATTCTTATTTTCACAATCGGACGTCCGCGATCACGTCAAACCAACTCCATTTCTCACCAAATTTCGCAGATAAGTCAAAAATATTATATTGGACCTATACCGAGCTCCGGAACCAAAATACGAACCCAATACCGACGAGATCAAACATCAATAATTTCATAAAAACATATATAAATTTTCAAACATTCAATTTTCAACAAAAATTCATAACTCGAGCTAGGGACCTCCCGATTCGATTCCGGGAATACGCACAGGTCCCAAATTTCGATACGGATCCACCAGGACTGTCAAAACACGAGTCCGGGTGTGTTTACCAAAAATGTTGACCGAAATCAACTCAAATGTGGTTTATAAGCAAAATTCCTTATTTTTATCAACTTTCAACATAAAAGATTTCCGGAAACACGTTCGGACTGCGCACACGAATCGAGAGGGATAAAATGAGGTTTTTAAGTTCTCAAAACATAGAATTTGGTTCTAATTCATAGATGACCTATCGGGTCATCACAAATTGCTTATTGCTAATATAATTATATTTAGCTCACTTTGAAGTAGTCAGTTAATAGCACTCCGTGAGATTATGTGATTAATTGACTAAAAACTAGTGACGATTAAATTGAAATATTTTTCTTGCTTGAATTGTGCTAAGAGTTAGTAAAAACTTCGTGAGTATATTTTTACTAAAAAATTAATAATCTTGCCAACAACAATTCCTCCGTGAGAATTAAAACTGAGGTGGGCAAAATTACGAACTTGGAATAATAGCTTACTAAAAATTACTCACTCTATTATTTTATTTATTGGTTATTATATATCAATTTTGCTTCGTGAGAATTACAAAATCAATATAAGAATAACTTAGAGATAAAATATGTTTAAGTGATAGTAATGATTAATTAAAACTATTATTACAGCACAGTACAAAGTATTAACAGAAAGCTTGATATATATATATANTAATAATGGTTAATTAAAACTATTATCACGGCACAGTACAAAATATAAAAAGAAAGTTTAAAGCCAAAGATGTATTAAACTGATATATATATATATATATATATATATATATCAAGCTTCATCAACTATCCCAACAAAATAAGTTGCTCCATTACGAAGTAATAAAAACTAATTTAGAAACAAAAAACTTATGAAATGTGAGCATGTGATTTTTGCCCTATACGAAATACTCCTATAAAATTCCATGAAAATAGATTTTTTGTTAATTATTGGCAATTTTAGGAATTTCTGTAGGATTTTCTTAATTATTAGCATTTTTCTGTGCATGTTTAATTTATTTAAATCATTGAAAAAATACCAAAATATCATGCATTGCATTTAGGATTTGTTTTTACATTTTTAGAATTAATCAGTAATTATTTGCTTTATAAAAATTTGAAAATCACAAAAAATAGCCCATTTTTGCATTTTTTGTCTTTTAATTTTTAGTTTATTGATTTTCCTCTTTTAATTTAGAATTAAGTGTTGTTTATAATTTTTATAATTAGCGAATTAGTTTAATTTCACACTTTTGGATAATTTAGGATTTTTAATTTGTAGAATTTTAATTAAAAGAAAAGGAAAAATTTGAAATAAAAGAAAGAATTGGAAAAGAGGTTTATTTTTGTGAAATTGGGCCAATTTCTATACATTTAATCCAGCCCAGATCCGATCCCAAACCCTCTTGACCCAAGTCCAACCCCTGCAAAACCCGGTCAGCCCCTTTTCTTTTCTTTTACCCGAAACAACGTAGTTAC